GGGTAACGCTTTTTTTTTTTTTAATTTTAACAGATGCCCCGTTTACTCGGGGCGTCTGTTAAAATTAAAAAAAAAAAAGCGTTACGCGTGACGAAGAATCACGCAATAGTATAGGGGAGATTGAATGCGAAGCAGCCAATAACGGAAATTATTTGTAAAATAATTTCATTATCTGGCTGTGAAATTTAATATGTCAACTTCTGGGCCCCAAAGGGGCCCAGAAATGACGTATATTAAATTCGCTGCCAGATAAACAAGTTATTGGCTGAGTAGTATTCAATAACGGTATTATCCGCTATCTTACGACGACCGAACCAACAGAATAACTCGAGTTCTTTGGATGATGATTGCGTCATCATCAAATAACGGAGTTATTTGATAATGATGCAATCATCATCGAAATAACTCGAGTTATTCTGTTGGTACGATCATAGTAAGGCGCCGGATAAATAAAATTACCTCTTTCACAAATTCGTCACTATGTTTTTTTTTTTGTTCTATGTATGAATCAAAGACAGTGGGTTGGTTAAATTCTTGAATTTTTCGCTCAGTATTAATATACTGTCGCAAAATCCATTTTTATTTATTTCTTTAATATTTTCAAATTAATTATAAAAAACTTAAGATATCTGATATTTGCTCTTAACTAATATTTCCTTTAAATTATTATCAATACGATATCTAAATTATCATTTATTCAGTCTATTCAAGATGACGCGTAACATCTGTCTTGTTCAATGTAATTTTTAATGGCTCTTCGACATTTCCCCGACAATTACTTCATTTCACAGGCAACCAGTTCCCCAACACAACCATTTCCCTGATAAAACCACTCTCTGACAACCACTTTCCTGATAACCGCCACTTCCCGACAACCACCACTTCTCCGACAACCATTTCCCTGATAACCACTTCCTCAACAACTACTCTTCTCCAACAACCACACTTCCTGCTTCCCGACACATTTCCCAGATAAAACATTCTTCTAAACAACTTTCACAGCTATTTACCCACACAGTGATTTCTACGATATAATTGCTTAACGAATTATTTTCCAACATATTTAAATAATTTAAATACTGATAAAAAAATAATAGCAAAATAAATGAATTAAAAAAAAAACATGGACAATTTTAACGCTCACCAAAGGTGTTGATAATTGGTATTTGGTATGCTCAGTAACAATGTTTAGCACCCCAAAAAACCCTACCTTCTACTTTAATTTAAACCTTAAGCCCCAACTCTAAAGTAGTGTTCCACACGGACCGAATCGGGCGAATACTTTTAAAGGTTCGGATCCGATCCGAAGTACGAATCGAATCCAAGTTAGGATTCGAAACCGTATCATGAAGATTCCGAATCCAACCATATTCGTGAAGGATCTCTTTTTGGCAATTTGCTCTTGTTCAAATGTGTTTATTGAAAAAAAATGCCCTGGTTCAAATATATTTATTGAAAAAAAGCGGATCCTGTTTAATTAAAAAAAAAAATCGCCCTGATTCAAATGGATTTATTGAAAATTTTTTAAAAAAATCTATAGGCTAACTTTCTCGTGATTGGTAGATCACATGAAATTGAATATTGCTTTATGATTGGTCATATGCGCAACCATGTGACGATCAGCCAATAAAATTATACTTGTGAAATTAACTAATAAAAGAGCGAAAAGATCAAATATATTTCTTTAAACATATATGTTTTCCTAAAGCCTATTTCATTTATTATGCCGAAGTAATATGAGATCTAAAATCTATAGTTTATTGTATTACAATTAACGCTTACTGTGAAAAAATCCACTAAATCATATAAAGTTCGTTGTAATCTCTAAAATTTTCAAATGTTTTTATTTTTACAACTACATTCTTAAACATTAAAAAGTTCTTTACACTATGTTCTAAAACATTATTACGTAGCTCAATAAAACGTCTTATCTATTTTTAAAAAAGAAGTTTGCTTTGTTAATTTTTTTTTTTTTTTATTAGTCAAATACATTCGACTATTTAGTAATTATATACAGTTCTATAATTATAATATACGTAGAATTTTACCATCTAAGCAAATTACCTCTAGGTTGTGGATCTTTTTGGATTCTTTCGCATAGTAACTTTTGGGGCTTAATTTTCATTTTTTGCTTGTGAAATGTTACATTCTTAAAAAGTACTCTAAACTGTACATATGGGCTAATTTGTTTCATTGGACCCTGAATGGAGTCACTAAATTTAATCTAAACCCCTTGTTTGATTTGTTGTTATTGGTCTGACGAAT